TGTGTGTCTTAACGTACTGCCTGAACTAGTGTAGAAATAGTGTCTTGTCTATCCTTTGTAGTTTGGCATATGAATCTTTTTTCAAAACTTCTTTTCCAGGACTAAGAAAGATGTTAAAATAAATGAAGTCTTGAAAATTTTTAATGCTACAGGAGACTAGCATCATCTTGCCTTTTTCCATGTCCTCCTTCAGTATTTCTCTTTTAAAGTGATCATGTAATTTGGATCTGAATTTTTTAGTAGTATTTTTCTGTCCGTAACTTCATAATGTGTTTTGCAATACTTAAGAAATACATTTAGACAGAAAACAGAATAACTTGTTTCACATTGTGACTATGTTTGCCTTTTTTTTTTTTTTTTTAGAATATGGTATTTGCAGATGCTTTATCACACTTCCCCCTGCCCCGTTTCCCTTAGTTAGTTATTCTTGTGTTTCTTGTCTTTTCGATATCTCCCACATTCTCAGCCATAAATTACAATAGCTCTTTGGTTCATGTTCATTGTATCTTCCTGACAATGTTGTTTCATGTAAGTCTCAAAAGGCTGAGATAAGCTAATACAAAATCTAAGTTGAAACAATTACTATAGCAAGGATTGGTGTCACTTATCTCATAAATTCATACAGTGTAGACATTGGTAATATTTATGTCTAAATAATTTTTGTTTTTCACTAATATAATCTCATGTCTTGCTGCATTTGTTGTTCATAGTTATAATACTGTTTTACACAGAGTACACTATTTATTAACTAAAGTTTTTTTACAGTTGTATTAATGGATAATTAATTAATAAATATTTATTCTGGTTTAGTAAAAGCTGATGTGAAATATACGAGTAAAAATTATATTTCACTCCCTAAATATTGTTCTTCTGTCCATCAAACTACCAAAAAAAATCAGTATAAATACAGTTCTAGTTTTATTCCATGGGCTAACAAACAAGGCAATCCTGTTGCCCTAAGTTGGACCTAGACAAGTAGGGGGTTTGGCAAGGAAGAGGGGGAGGATAGATGCTCTTGTATGTGATGGTAGTTAGATATGGGATAGTAAGCAAAATAGGTCTCAGTTGCCTTGGAAGCGTGTACTTTTTATTTACAGGGAAAGGCAGCGACGGTTTTCTTTTCTTCTCCCCTGCTACCTGGTTGGTACTGGTTGGTCTATAAGAACTATTTCTGTGAATTTATATAGGAGGTCAACAAATGTGGAGGCTTTTGCTGATTAAGATTCTAATTATTTTCATGTTTTGCGAATATGTACAAATATGTGGAAGACACCCGTGCAAGTTTATTCAAATTCTGATTTTGAAGGGGATTGCATATATTGGCACAACATGTATTTTGATTACAGTTAAGAAAGAGTATCATTGCACAGTCCCTTAGGTGTCTTATAAAGCCCTTATCAACCCAGAGGGCTATCTGCAACTCTAGTGTGCTTCCGCTCGTGGCTCTATAGCCTTTCACGTAAGCTGGCATGGCAGTGTTTTCCAAAGCCTCCAGGGCAGCGTTTTTCCCCCTTTCTTGTGCTGTTACTGTCATAGCCTTGCTACTGGAAAACCCTTATATTGTTGCGATGATGTGTTCTTGTGGGATGTGGTCTCCAATGGTGTGAGAATTGCCTCTTCTCTCCCCTCTCTTCTTCCTCTTCAGTTGCAGCTTTTGGGTTAAATTAGGGGAAGCAAGCTGCCAGCATGCAGCACCAACCCCGATCCAAGTGTGCTCCAATCAGTGCTGATAGTATTATAAGTGGAAACAACCAATAGCGAGTTTGAGTGGCTCCTGATGAAAAGCAGTGTAGTTATATGAGAAGACTCAATGGCAGGACCCTCCTGTCACTTCTGTTCCCTAAAGGCTATTGCAGAAGTATTCCCTTTCCTCCTGCCTCTTAATTTTTATCTTTGGTTGGGATCATAGAAACACAGAATCTGAAGAGGCAACATGGACAGTGCTAATGTAGACTGAGCTGCGCTAGTGACAGATTGGCCCGTTTTGGTTCAACAAGCTGTTGAAATTGCCTCAATTTGAACAAAAGCTAGTTTCCTTTCCATATACCACTTACAGTTTTGAAGTTAATGTTTTAAGCAGCAAGTGTGAATGAATATTAAAAATGTGTACAAAAACTTTACTGGGGTTCGTGTTAGAAAAAGAGTGGACTGAGCTTGCTGCTCTTGTCAGCAAATTCATGACAATGGGATAGAAGTACTTGAGAAGGGATATCTTCTCTCCTTATCACTGGAAAAAGTGCCAGTTCAGATCTCAGTTTATATTGAAAAGCATGAGGGGCCCTTTTTCTCGGTGGGAGACCTCTCAGCAGATACAGGTCTTTCAGGTATATTATTTGGGATAGTCCAGAAGACTCAATTGCTGATAAGTGTTTCACCATCTTTTATGAAGGCCTGCTTTCTCTGCGCATTCACAAGGCTTATTTTAATTGTTTTCTTATTTGCTTTCTAATTTTTAGCCCTTAGTGTTTCTAATTATATTTTCTTCTCAATTGCACAAATGCATTACATTTTCATCATAACTGCAGAGAATTAAAACCTTACTGGTGAATATGTGTTTGAATTGAAAGTGATTCTTGTGGAGTCCCAACACGTGTATGAGTCAGGCTACTGTGTATAGGAGCAGTGGCATTACAGACGATTCATTTTTACTGAAGATGTCATTTGATATATGAACTTCGCAAAATTAAAACTAACCTGATGTCAATTTCTGAAACATTTCAAAACCCTTGAGACTAGCATCTCAGCTACCTGTTTCCTTCTGAGTTCAAGGCTCTAAACTGAAAAGCTATTCTGTAAAAATAGTTAAGTTGTGCATCATGCCCTGAGGGTCAACAGAAAAGATTCCAGCATTAAAAAGATATTGTGGACTATTTTGTTGAAAGCAGTAGAATGTATTCTCAACTAAGTATGTAATGTTTTACCAATCAACTCCCATGAGTGCAGATGGGAATTACAAAGGTAATACTTGCACATCAGATTGACACATTCATATCATTCTGGTCTAAAATATGAATTCATAGTATTTAAGTACATGGTATGAGAATATAACTTCGGGACGTCCAAAAACACAGGAAAAAATGGAAGGAGAAAAAAACATTGTTATCAAGAGAATAAGGAGTTTGGCCAGGGGAGGAGAGTGAGCGAGTACTTTTTTTCCTTAGAAACCTTTATGATTTTGAGAAAAGCTTGCTTTTAAAACTTTTCCGTGTGAAAGAAGGTATGTTGTTACAACTAAATTATCTTGCCTAATCCTTAAGTTTTTTCTCACATCTTATTGAGAAATCATTGTGGATATATCTATGTATTAGTGGGTATTTGCGTAAAATCTGTGTAACCTTCTACTGATACGTTTAATGGTGTTTAGTCATTCAGACTGACAGAGTTTTACATCTTCTCTATTTCCCTCTTCCCTCCCTCCTCCCAAAACAGAAAGCTGTACTTAGTTGGCCATGTCTTTCTATTTAGAAATACACAAAGTGTAGATTTTTGACGCAATACGTACCCTTTTAATGAAAGTAAGAATGTTTTGCTTTTCTTAATCCATACACCTATACCAGATCGAAGAGAGGAATAGTTTTCTATCCCTGTCTTTCTGTTTGTTAATGCAAAAGATTTCCCTATACAAAATAAATTAGCTTCTACATGTTAAAATGAAATTTTCATGCGTAAGTTAATTTGAAAAAGCAAGTTTATAATTTTTATAATTATGTTGAATTAACTATAATATTTCGTTCTTTTTCTATGTTAAGACCAAAAGGAAAAGCTGATGCAAGAGAACAAAGACCTACAGTTATGCTACCTGGAACATAAGCAACAACTAGATGAACTGAAAAATCACATGAAGTTTTTGACCAAGGTGAACTCTATTTCTATTTAGAATATGAGGAAAAAAATCCCATTCTATGTTTTATGCATAGTGCAAATACTTCTTGAAAGTAAAAGAATACAGAAATATAAGTGTTTATTCATTATATCAAGCAAAATGTCATGTCTAGTGAGAATGCATCTTGTTATTCTGAATGTATTTCTTCGATATTCATTCACATCTGATAACACCTTTTCATTAAGTATTTCTGTTTCAGGAAAGTGATATTGATGTGGCAGAACTCAGTGAAGCCCTCTTGCTTATAAAGGTAACTTACAAAGAATGAGCATATGGGGGATTGGAACTAGATGGTCTTTAAGGTCCCTTCCAACCCAAAGCATTCTATAGTTCTATATATT